GAATTTTATTTCAAATTATGAACATTCAGATTCAGTTCCTGCTGACACAGGATTTATCACATATAAAATTAGCATAAAAAATGAGCTAAAGGCAGCAGACTCAACTTGAAATTAGCACCCAGATTATAAATAATTAATAAATAGCAGAAAAAGCTGCTTAAAACAACTAAAAAGTGATAATTTGTAATAAAATAGCTAAAACAGCTGACGTTTTCAGTAAAACAGCTAAAAGGTAGCTGGAAATATTTTAATTATAAGGAAGCATAAGGAGCACAGTTTATCAGAAATAAGTTATAATAGCTATAAAAAAATATGTATTTAGCCTAAAAAGCTAACTTTAGCTAATACCAGCTAAACATTAGCTAAAAGTGCAGTAAATAGCTGAATATAGCTGAAACCATTTGTAAGAAGCATGAATGGCACAAAGTAAAAACCCGGTCACCAAGTGGGACATCCTGGTTCTGTCCGTGTCACCGGTGCCGGTCCCTGGAGGTTCTGACCCGTTCTGAAACTGTCTGACAGGATGAGAGCAGCGTCATCGCTGGGACGTCTGAGGGAACCGTGATCCAGTTTCAGTTCGTCTCCTCCACCGTGGAGCAGCAGGAGCAGCAGTGGGTCAGAACCAGAACCTTTAAAAACCACAGCCACGACGTGAGGGCGCTCGTTCACACCGACACCGCCGTGGTCTCTGGAGGTGGGTGGGTTCTGCTGAACCTTCTTTAAAACCCAGAACAAATGAATCTGTGTGAGGAGGAGGAGGAGGATGGTGGTGATGATGGTGGTGATGGTGATGATGATGATGATGATGATGATGATGATGATGATGGTGATGATGATGATGATGGTGATGATGATGATGATGATGATGATGATGATGATGATGGTGATGATGATGATGGTTCCTGTCAGGAGTGGACACCCAGCTGGTGGTGCGCCCCCTGCTGGACAAAGTGGAGAAGAACACCCAGGAGTCTGCGCTGCGTAAAATCATTTTTCCTCACGTGAGTTCAGAAACATGACCCACTTCCTGTTTGTGTGTCTGATGAAGAGCGTTAATCAAATCATACTGTTGCCGTGACGACGTAACAACTGTCTGTTGTCGTTGCAGAGAAATCTTGTTAGTTGTGCGAAGAAAGCAGGACTGCTTCTGTTCCAGTTTCCAGATCATTTAGAGGTGTGGAGGCTTGGAGACAGTGATGGAAAAGGTGAGAAACACACAGATAGCCTTTATGCTAACGTATATGCTAACCCTCAGGCTAACTCTCATGCTAAAACAAATGCTAACCCTCAGGCTAACTCTCATGCTAAAACAAATGCTAACCCTCAGGCTAACTCTCATGCTAAAACAAATGCTAACCCTCAGGCTAACTCTCATGCTAAAACAAATGCTAACCCTCAGGCTAACTCGATGCTAAACCTGAAAAGGATTCTGTGTTTTCATGTCCATGTCAAAAGCTTTAGCTGTTTTGTCACATCTCTGTAGGTAAAGCAAACTGTTTTTAGGTACCTGGATTAAAAACATAAAAATAAACTTCAAAATGTAGTTGTTTCTTCTGAAAATATTTTTGATTTAAACTTTGTGTTTGCTGTATTTTTGGAGAAAAATTTAGTTTATAAATGTAGTTGAAGGTGCTGCTATCTAGTGGTCAAGTTAGAGATATTTAATGCAACAGATTTATTATAATTTAACTGTATTTCTCTTCCTGTAGAAGACTCCAGTAAACAAACAAAATAAACTATAAATAATAATAATAATCTTGTGTTTCCAGGGAAGGCTGGTGACAGTCTGCCTCTGAAGAGGAAACCTGAGAAAATGATCCAGCTCAACAGGAAGGTGTGTTGTTCTCTTCTTCAACAGGTTAAAACTAGACTTTATTCTGAGAAACAGACAGCAGGTTGATTAGAAACAGGACCTGTGAAGGTTTAATAAGACTTTACAATTAGTTCAAACATACATTAAAGTCTAACCCTAAACTTCAGGAAAACCTCATTTTAGACTTGGCTAAAAGCTCAGAGCTGCACCACTGACATGAGTCCTGTTAGTGGTCTGTTAGAGTCCTGTTAGTGGTCTGTTAGAGTCCTGTTAGTGGTCTGCTAAAGTCCTGTTAGTGGTCTGTTAGAGTCCTGTTAGTGGTCTGCTAAAGTCCTGTTAGTGGTCTGCTAAAGTCCTGTTAGTGGTCTGCTAAAGTCCTGTTAGTGGTCTGCTAAAGTCCTGTTAGCATCTATTTGCATCCTGTTAGCATCTGTTTGCATCCTGTTAGCATCTGTTTGAGTCCTGTTAGCATCTATTTGCATCCTGTTAGCATCTGTTTGCATCCCGTTAGCTTCTGTATGCATCCTGTTAGCTGTGGGTCCAACAGAACATCTGGATGTTGGTCCTTCTTCCTGCAGGGACAGGATCACATCTGCTGCAGCGCCTTGTCTCCGTGTGGAGGATGGTTAGCGTACTCCACTGTCTCGGCTGTTCGTCTCTACAGACTGCAGCTGAACACCAACAACATCAGCATCAACAAGGTGAGCTCCACACACCTGTTCACACCTGTTCACAGCTGTTTACCATTCCAGTTTAGCTTTTAGCAGCTGAAAGGACTACGTGTGTCCTCCTGCAGGTGTCCAAACTGCCTAAAGAACTTCAGTCGGTCCATCAGCTCTGCTTCTCCTGTGACTCCTCAAAGCTGTTCGCCTCGTCCAGCCTGTCCTCTGTGGTGGTGGTGGGTCTCAGCCAGCTGGAGTGTAAACACCTGGAGACCCTCAAACACAAGTCAGGTGGGGGTGGTCTTCATGAGAAACCAACGCCACGCTCTTCTTCTGTGGTTTTTACACTTCTCTACCGTCTCAGGCTCCAGGCAGCCGGTCCACCTGCTGTGTCCCAGTGAGGACGGGAAGTGGTTGGTGACGTCCAACACAGACCGAGAGGTCCACGTGTTCAACCTGCACAAGATGAAGGTCGGTCCAGATCTTAGACTCGGGTCAGGTTCTGGACCATCAGATCCTGACCTGTCTCTGTTGGTCCACAGCTCCACTGTTCGGTTCCGGTGTACGGTTCCTGTCCCACGGCGGTGTCGGTCCACCCGTCGGGCAGCAGCCTGGTCTGTGTCCACGCTGACCAGCAGGTGGGTTCCTCCTCAGGTTCTCTGGGTTCTGCCGGGGCAGCAGGTTCTGAAACCGTGGTTCTGTGCAGATCCTGGAGTTCTCCCTGAAGCAGAAGGAGTACACGGAGTGGAGCCGGACTCTGCAGAGACTGGGGCTCCACCCCCTCTGGCTGCAGAGGGACACGCCCATCACCACTGTGACCTATGACCCCAGGAACCCGGCCCACCTGGCCCTGCACGACGCCTTCATGTTCTGCATCATAGACCAGACTCTGGTGGGTCCGGCTCTTTGTTTACTTTAGCTTTTAGCTGCTGTTAGCGTCTAGCTGTTTTACTTTAGCTTTTAGCTGCTGCTGCTGTTAGCATCTAGCTGTTTTACTTTAGCTTTTAGCTGCTGTTAGCATCTAGCTGTTTTACTTTAGCTTTTAGCTGCTGCTGCTGTTAGCATCTAGCTATTTTGCTGCTGCTGTTAGCATCTAGCTGTTTATTTACTTTAGCTTTTAGCTGCTGCTGCTATTAGCATCTAGCTGTTTGTTTATTTTAGCTTTTAGGTGCTGTTAGCATCTAGCTGTTTATTTACTTTAGCTTTTAGCTGCTGCTATTAGCATCTAGCTGTTTATTTACTCTAGATTTTAGCTGGTGCTGCTGTTAGCATCTAGCTGTTTGTTTACTTTAGCTTTTAGCTGCTGCTTTTAGCATATAGCTGTTAATTTACTTTAGCTTTTAGCTGCTGTTGCTATTAGCATCTAGCTGTTTTACTTTAGCATTTAGCTGGTGCTGCTGTTAGCATCTAGCTGTTTATGTACTTTGGCTTTTAGCTGCAGTTAGCATCTAGCTGTTTATTTATTTTAGCTTTTAGCTGCTGTTAGCATCTGTTTATTTACTTTAGCTTTTAGCTGCTGCTATTAGCATCTAGCTGTTTATTTACTTTAGCTTTTAGCTGCTGTTGCTATTAGCATCTAGCTGTTTCTGCTGTTAGCATCTAGCTGTTTTACTTTAGCATTTAGCTGGTGCTGCTGTTAGCATCTAGCTGTTTATGTACTTTGGCTTTTAGCTGCTGCTGTTAGCATCTAGCTGTTTTTAATTTAGTTGAAACCAGAACCTTTATTTTGAATTCTTCTGATCTCAGCCACTTCCTGAAGCCAAGACGAACCTTTACAACCAGCAGGTCCTCAGGAGCCTTCCTCAGGACCAGAGGAGCAGAGTCAGCCACGCCTTCAAGATCTGCAAGAACTTCCAGGTACCTCCATGCTGCGGCCCGGTTCTGAAGGTTCTGTATGGGATCGATCTTGTGCCAACAGGAAGTGAAACTGCTACAGTAAAGTGTTCTTGTGTGTGCGGTTCTGCAGAACCTCCTGGGTGTGGACCTGCTGGAGGACCACTCTCTGGTGGTGGTGGAGCGCCCCCTGCAGGACATCCTGACCCGGCTGCCGGCTCCGGTCCGCTGCAAGAAGTTCGCCACGTAAACCCCGCCCCCTGCTGTTGCCGAGCGAGAATAAATATTTAATCTGTTGGATTAGACTCACTTCTGTTTGTTTTTATTGTTGACATGAAGCCAGTTGATGGAAACAACTCGTTAAGGTTTAACGACGTTTAACGACGTGTGCTCATTAAAGGATGGTTTTTACTTTGTCAAGCTTAACATTTTCAATAAATAACTTGTTTTTAAAGCTGAGGTTTGTTGGTTCTGATCCAAACACAGCAGATCAAAGGTTTTCACAGACAAGTTTATTTCTGATTGAAATTAATTCACATCAAAGTAACTTCCTGTCAGAGAACAGCAGCAGCAGCTCCGCCTCTAGCTGTAGCAGCTAGAGGCGGAGCTGCTGCTGCTGCTGCTAGAAGATTCAGAGGAACCACAGATTAATGAGGGAGTTCAACTACAGAGCGCCTGGTTCAGCTGCCAGACCCTGACCCAGACCAGGACAATCAGGACCAGGACTCTCTGAAACACGTACAGGTCTGCAGGACCAGAAGATGAAGGAGGAGCTCCACAGGATAAAGGATCATCACAGTCAACAACAGAAAGACAGAAACCTTCAGTCAGAAGGTCCAACGTTTGGACTCGGTCTGGAAACGACCCGCTTCTTTAAAAAGGACCAGTTCTGGAAACAAACGGGACCCGATCTGACCCCCCAGGTCTGAGTTAAACCTGCAGTCAGGAACTTCTCTGTCCCTTTGTAGAGGCTCCAACACTCAGGTTTTCTTTAGGTTCCGAGTCTCTGTCGTCTAGGGTCTGTAAGTCCTGGGTCTTTAAGTCTAGAATATCTGTCTAGGGTCTGTAAGTCTAGGTTCTCTGTTGTCCAGGGTCTGTAAGTCTAGGTTCTCTGTTGTCCAGGGTCTGTAAGTCTAGGTTCTCTGTTGTCCAGGGTCTGTAAGTCTAGGTTCTCTGTTGTCTAGGGTCTGTAAGTCTAGGTTCTCTGTTGTCTAGGGTCTGTAAGTCTAGGTTCTCTGTTGTCTAGGG